CCCCCCCGGAGGCTGGCGTCCTGCATTACTCTCACAGCCATTTGGACAGCTGAGCTTTGCTCATGGCAAACAGCTTAATTAGGACGCAGCACTTCCCTCGTTTGCCGTGAGCAAGAAAAGACGGTTTGACAGGATTTTAAGACAAGTGCTAAACACACCACACCGCCAGAGGGATATAAATTGCAATATATATCCAACTACCAAGGCTGTTCTCTTGCTCAGTAAAACACTCCCTCTGTGTCTAGGGATATTAAAGTAAAACCATTTCTCACCTTCATCTGAGCAAGTATTTATGGCACTCTTGTTTTTACAGGAATGTAAACAGGGAGCAAGATGGCAAAACCGAAGGGGAAAACTGCCTGGTGGGAATAAAATCCCTGCTGTCCACCCAGGGGTACAGGGAATTATCCACCCTGGTAACTCACTTGAAACAAAGATTAGATTAAACTCTATGAACAGAGCCAGAAATGCATTTTGAATCCAATTTAGGACGGATTTTGTGCAGGAAAGGTGATGACTACAGATGCAGCGTTCGAGCTTGGATATTGGGAATGCATGATCTTCTCTGGAAGCCAGAAATTGATTTCCAGCTCCTCGTCCAGCAGAGGTTCCGACAAAAGCAATCAGTTTATTGGCAGGAGCCCGACATCAGTCGGGCAGGTCCTTATGTAAGAGTGTTTGAGAGCCCTTGCGCCCCATTGCATCCGAACAGGGAGCGGTCAATGGCTACTAATTAACATCACAACGAGCCCCTGTACCGGGGCCTCCCGCCGCCCCAGATCCCAACACGTTCCTCTCCAAAAGGATAAAAAGGTTGCGTTAAATCAGGAAGATGTGGCCTGCCATGCAATGAAAATGTGAAAAATGCAAGTGTTCAGCAGTGCCAATACCCCCTAAAAAGGGCTGGCTTAGCAAGAAAACCACCTCAAGGAAAATGTCCTGGGTGCAGGAATAAATTCAAAGTGTTCTGTTGGCAAAGTATTGCCTGGGAACAGAGCCTCTTCAGGAAAACTCTCCTCCCCTCAGCTCACTGGTGTGTATAACAGCAAAGATAGAATTCTTTTTTTCCCCAGCAGTTTGTTGGATTTTGTAGCAATTCAGACCCAGCACTCCTCTGCCTTAAGGAGGACAATTAAACCTGCCAAACTCATGCAAAAGAAAAAAAATTAAACATACACACCCCCCACACACCCAGAACCACTCAGGCAGACACGGTCACATGGAAGTCTTCGAAAAATACGTGCATGTGGCACTTGGGGACATGGTTTAGTGGTGGAACTGGCAGTGTTAGGCTAATGGTTGGAGTCAGTCGTAAAAGACTTTTCCACCCTTTATGATTCCAGGTTGTAGGGCCAGATGATGTTGTATGTCTGCCTAAGTCCACCAGCCCCTGCAGTGACCACGTAAGCGTGGGGTGGAAATCAAGAGCAGGGCTATAAAGGGAAAGTTACGTGTTTCCTATTAGCTGGAGGCTCAAATGGACCTTGATTCCAGTTGAATTGGGAACCTGGTGTCAAAATGGGAGAGGGAAGTATCATAAGCTAAGCCTCTCCTGGGAAAGCAGGTGGAGATGGATCCCAGGCTCCATTTCTGATTTTCATTCTTGCCACATGAGGAAAAGAATGGATTTCTGGGGTATCTTTAAGAAAAATGCACTTCTAGATGCAGGGCCACTCTTTTAAAAATAACAGTCACATGAGCTGTTATCTTTGCAGTTCTTGGTAATCATTTGTAAGCCAACTGTGAATTGATATATGGGATATGTGGCCTGGCCCTTCTCCAGCCATTCATTTCACAGTGTTTGAACTGATAACTGGAAGTAAATCCATAATCAGAGTTAAACAAAATTGATGAGTGAAGATAATATCCAGTTGCTTCTAAAGACAGCAAACACCACCTCAGTGAAGCCATCTAACACTCCCACATCCTCATTTTCCTCCTGCTGAAGGGGTCTCTGTTTGTCAAATCAAGGGGCAAAACCCCAATAATTTCTCCAGTACCCAATTTTCCAAACAGCTGCCTTAAGGGAAGCTGTGCCTACACAAGGTGCTGAAATGATGTTTGGGAAGGTGGGTGGATTTACAGTGGCATCAGCTCCACTCCATCAACAGTGATGGGTGTTTTGGCACAGGGTCATCCCAAACACTTGGCCAAGCTAGAGGAGCTCCCAAAAGCCAGATGGAGTCAAACCAGGAGCATCCACCAGCAGCTCCAGCCCATTTCAAACCCACAGGGAGAGAGGTCACAGGACTGTCATTCACAGGAGTATAACAAAAATAGGAGCTCCAACAAGCACATTGCTGACCCCAGGAATTTTCTGGGTGCCTCTGCCTCTCCACCATCCTCCTGCAATCATCTCCAAGTCATGAGATCTCACTAGGATGGAATTCCTTCTCCTTTCAGTTTCTTGGCAGCTTTACAAAGACACCTTATCACCACCATCAGGCTGGAGAAGGACAAGCAGGACAGGGAAGGAGCTTACAGTGCCACTGTTATTTCTGTATGTGACTCACGAGGGATTGCCATGGGTTCCATCCATTAATACAGCAATTAAATTATGTTATGGCATGACCACATCTCATTTGGAATGACCCCAACAGCCTCAGTTAGAGAAAATAACCACTCAGCTTTCATTATTGTGGATAACGATGCTCTGACATCTGTAGCAATTAGGAAACTACCACTGAGGACATGGAAACAAAGTTCGTGGAGTATCATTTATGGGGTGGAAGCTGTAAGGACATTTTTCCTAACCAATGTGAACACTGGGGAGCCCTCTCAGCCCCTATAGGCCCCATACCCATCACAAACCTCACAGATCCCACAGCCCTCACAGTTCCTCAAAAACCCCATAGGTCCCAGAGCACTGACAGCCCCTCAAAGCCCCCCAAACCCTACACAGAACTCAGAGCCCACAAAACCCATATACCCCAAACAGACCTCACATCTCTAACACACCCCATAACCCTTAACAAACCCCCTAGCTGTCACACCCCTTATATAACTGATAGCCCTTACAGACCCTATAGCCTACACAAACCCTACAGCCCTTAAAACTCCCATAGCTCTCACAACCTCATAGGCACCACACCCAAATGATGGGAAAAGGGAGCTCAATTTGAACCCTAAAAAGGTGAAGGACAACAGGGCAACAGAGATTTCTCTCAATTTAAACATTAAAATTATGAAAATGCAGGTGGGGGGGTGTTGCACTCAATTCAAACCCATCACATGGCATAAAAAAGATTTTCCCCTTACACTTAAACTGGGAAATGGGGATTCTTGGTCAATTAATTGATACCCCTAAAAACACAGAAAAGGCAGGATTTCCTTCAATTGATAACCTTTAAATCACAGATGAAGGGGTCTTCCCCCCAGTTTAAACACAAACAATGATGGAAAAGGAGGTTTTTCCCTTCAGTTTAAACCCCTTTCCCCCTGAACTCTCTGACTGTCCTGTGGTCACTGGGATGCACTGGGGAGAAACTGGGAGCACTGGGATGCACTGGGGAGAGATGGGGAAGATGGAATAGAAAGGATAAAGGAAAAAGATCTTCCCAGGGCCCCCAAATGTTGCCTCACTTCAGCCACACCTGAAGCTGCCCCAGCCCTCAGCACAAGGAGTGATGGTTTTAAACTGAAGGATAGAGATCAGTATAGATATAAACACTGGGAAAAGTTTTTTACAATAAGGGTGGTGATGCCCTGGCACAGGTTGCCCAGAGAAGCTGTGGCTGCCCCATCCCTGGAAATGTCCAAGGCCAGGTTGGATGGAGCTTGGAGCAACCTGGGATAGTGGAAGGTGTCCCTGCTTGTAACAGGGAATGAAATGAGCTTTAAAGACCCTTCCAATGCAGTATATTATATTAAAAAAAACATAGTCTCCCGTTGAAGAGATCTGTAGGGGTGGGGGGAAAGAACTGACTTTAAAATCTCTGTTTGAGATCTCCCACCTGGCGCTGGGTGTGCACCCACTGATCTCTTCCCCATCTAGGGACTGTCTCCAGCTTGGTTTTTTGTTCGGTTGGGGTTTTTCCTTTGCGGCTCCGAGTTGTCTCCTTTATTTATTTTTTTTTTCGGCGGGAAAATAAATACACGAATAAGTAGAAGCCGTCTCCCAAGGAGAAGCCCGATGGCGCGGCCGAGATGAGGGGAGCAGCCATGGGTGTCCCCTCAGGCTCCAGCCCTCCTCCTCCTCCTCCTCCTCCTCTTCCTGGGAATTCCTGTGGGCACAGGGAGCCCGCAGGGTCCGCCACGGCTCCTTCCAGGCTTCCTTCCCTTCCAGCCGCCCTGCTTTGCTGCATTCCCAAGGCCTGGAGCGACCCCAAGCTTCCCTGGAAGGTTCTGCACGCCAGCTCGGCTCTGTGCGAAATTTCGTCCTCACCGTGCTGGGCTGCCGGCCCTTTCTTTTTTTCTTTTATCCTCATCTTTCTCGCCCTTTTTTCTTTCATTTTCCCATCCTTTTTAATTTTCCTTTTCTCCTCACGTTTTCTGCCATTACTCCCCCCCCTCTTTTCCCGCCCTTTTTCACCCCATGTTTCCCGCCCTTTTTCACCTCACATT